GAGGCAAAAAAGTATAGTCAAAGTGACATCTGCACTTGTTTGTTCATTGCAGCACTCTTTACAATAGTCAGAATCTGGAAAAAAACCTGAGTGCCCGAGAACAGATGACTGGTTAAAGAAACTTTGGTACATTTACACAATGGAGTACTATGTAGCTGTTAGAAAAGATGAAGTCATGAAATTTACATACAAGTGGTACTTCATGGAAAGTATCATGTTAAGCTAAATGACTCAGAAAGAAAGGGATAGACATAGATTGCATTCATCTGGGGAACATAAAGTAACAAAATAGGAGACTAACACCCAAGAATGGCCAGGAATTTTACTCCATGGCTTGGAGGCCAACCACACATGCTAGGGGAAAAGGGAGCTCAGATAGAGAAGGGAGCACCAAATAAAGGTGTTGGGAGGATCCTCCCAGGATGGGAGAAGCATGCTGAAAGTAGACTCTAGACCAAACATGATAGCCACTCACTGACTCTTTTGCAAACCACAACACCCAATAAGAGAGAGAACAAAAGAGAATGCCCTGCCACAGAGGCAGGGTGGGATGGGGGGTTGCGGGGTGGGAGGGATACTGGGATCTGTGGTGGTGTGAAATGGGTACTGGTGGAGGGATGGGTATTTGATCATTGTATAATTGAAACCCAAACACAAAAATTTGTAAGTCTACAACTGTACCTCATGATGTCTCACTAATAAAAAAAAAAAGAGAGAGTGTTCAGTAAAGGAACTCCAAACACGAGCTTTCTTACTGCAAGGAGGCTAAATTACCGTAACAGTGATCCAATAAAGCCAGGTAGGACAACACTTGGAAGATTAACCAAAAAGCATCTGAGGACTGGAGGACTCGCTACATGGATGGCCCCCTGGGACAATGGACAATTCAGGAAGATAGCTACATTTCCTGGGGGGTGAAGAATTCAGGTGCTCAAACTGAAAGACCATCAGCAACTTGAATAATTCTGTTAGCCCCTGACTTGCAATGAGCTCATGTCATAGACAAGGCTTAGCGCTAACTGCAGGATATTTCCCAGGCTGCAATGGGAAGAGCTGTTTGCCATCCCTCGAGATAAGAGATCACACACGCGAAACAACTGAAAGCATCATTAAATAATCTCGAAAGCTCTTCACAGCAAATAAATTAAAAGAAGAAATCTTGAGTGTTCTGAAAAAATGTGATGGGATGACAGATAAGGAGGATTTTAGATTGTGGGATAAATTTAAATATCTTCAGCAGCTTTATGCCTGTCTGTCTGTATGAAATCTCTTGCCCTAAAAAACACTCTTTGGGGCTGGGGAAGGAGACCGAGTGTTTGCAGATTAATAAAAGTTTTACATGTTTTTCTTGCCTTTATTGAATCAGTTACAGTAGTAATCAGGAATATGAAAGCTCCATTGTTCTAAAAAAATTAATATGGGCAACCTTAAAATATCACAGGGATCCCTAAAACTCTCTTCTCCCTTGCCTGGATCTACCAGGGTATTTTTCTCTGATGAACTCAGAGCAGAATCCCCCTCCCTGCACCCAGGAACATGGCATAATGCCTTTGATCTGGGAAAGCTACCAGGCATGTGTTTCTGAATTCTCTATGCCCTCTTTAGTGTGGTACAAGTACTGAATAAAGATCTTCTTGATTTAATATGTGACTTCAGTGAGACTCAAAATCAGAAAAGATGAAAGGGAAGTCTAGGTAACCTGGCACTGCTTTCAATTCTTCTGCAAATGTCATTCAATATCAGCAAGGACTTGGGCAGTTGCTTGTCAGATGCCAGGAACTGTGGCGAAACAGCCAGGTGCCAGTGAGGAACTGTGTTTCTGGGAAGGTGGCAGAGTGGCATTTTGGTTTGATGCATCAGAGACAATGTAATAGTGAGGCTCTGGATGAAGAGTCGTCAGAGGAGAAAAATGAGCACACTTATAAACAATCATTTTGTATATACTTAATGTTCCCAAGCTATTTACCTTAGATTCTGGCCTTATTATAGACCATTAGTGATGCCATTTGGATGTCTTTAAATTTGCATTTCAGACAGGAAGGCAGGCCTCCCTAAAACTTTCACATGCATGCAGCTGTAATTAAGGTGGAAGGCCTTATTTAAATAGTAATTAGCCTTCAGGACTTGAAGTGTAAACAGAATGCTAATTCATTTAGATAGATAATTGGTCTTCTGGGTTAGAGATCTGAGCACGGCCCACCTCTTGTGCTAAGAAGTGTTTCTGAACCAGGCCAGGCTGTTGATTTAAGGAGGCTGACATTCTGCTAACTCTTGCTTGGCTTCCAGAATGTTAGCTTTTTTTTTTTTTTAACTCTTAATGCAAATGAATGTGGAGACTGTGAAAACATCAAGTAAACTTGTGTGATGAAATCGTTAACACCTGACTTTCTCAGAAATTACAGGGACCGCCTGACGGTTGTACGATTCCGGTGTAACTTCTGAGCTCTCTGCTATCATACTTGGGACTAACTTGGTCTGGAGATAAATTGTGTGGTTGCCCTTATCATAATTGAGAGGACATAGCTAGTGATTGCTGCAACTAAAGGTGTAGAGAAGACTGATTACATTTTTTTTTCAGTGACTCCACAAATGTCAAGGTCCTTTTTCCTATTAATGCCATAAAGATAGGGGGAACAATGACTCTAGCAGAAATGAAGTCATTGTCTTTGACTTTGCCAACTCTGCAAAGCACCCTGGTCTGCTTCTCTTGCTCTCAGAAAATAAAAATGAGGGGCCAGGACCATAGGACAGCAGGTAAGCCTCTTCCCTTGTACCTGGTCAACGGGGTTTGATCCTTTGCAAGGTTACCCTAGTACCCGCCAGGAGGTACTCCTGTGTGCAGAGCCAGGTGTAAGCCCTGAGCATCACTGGGGGTGGGCCCAAAACAAAAAGAAAAGAAAAACAAGCCCCCTCCCCTCCAAAAAAAAAAAAAAAGGAAGGAAGGAAGGGAGGAAGAGGAAAGAAAAAAAAAAAACAACAACATTGTACCCAGGAACAGTTTATTTCTTGCTGTGGTTCCTCAGTCCTAGTTCAGCTACAGGGAAGGTGAATTTGTTACTCCTACTTAAAAAAAAAAAAGGTTTCCTTTTTTAGTTCGGTCAGCTCAACATGCTCCAGACAACAGATGCTTGGGCCCTGCTGTTTCCCGGCTTTCCAGCACGTGCGTCTAAACAGACCCGCAACAACAGTGCGTTATCACTCGGATTCAACAAATATTTGACGAATCTAGTGGCTGGCAGCGAGGAGGCACTCGCTGAACTTTATTCAATGAATAAATACTGGCCACACCTCAGGGTTCTTCGGGGGCGGAGGGGGCGCTACCCGGAGGAGGTTGAAAGGAGAGTAAAGTTCTCTGTAGTATCAAGGAGGCTCTGCCCGCAAGGGGTTAACAGTCTCCAAGGGGACGGCGTAAATAAATACCCATAAAAGAAGCTCGGGATCATTAAGTGCCCCGGCTCTGGTGAGGAGGCCCGGGGTGAGTGGGGGAAGGTGGAACTCCCCGGGGCCCAGGGCGGACGGGCTGAGCGTTGCCCGCCGGGCCGCGCAGGGTTAACCCCGGCCCACACCGAATCCTCTGCCCGCGTCGGTCCGAAACTGCGCCCGGTTCTGGCGCACAATTCTGGCGGCCGCCCAACTTTCCCTTCACCGTTTCTGGCTAATCCGAAAGAGCCTTCGTTCACTTAGCAAAAGGGAGTGTTAGGATCTGGCGAGAGATAACGCGAAAAACAAAACAGAACAAAACAAAACAAAACAAAACCCCAAAGAAACCTTAACTAACTGTTCTGGAGGGCTGGAGAGCTAGGACGGCAGGTAAGGCGCTAGCCTTACCTTTGGCCGCCCGGGTTCGAGTCCCCCCACCGCAAGGGGACCCCCGCTGGGCCCCCACCAGGCGTGATTCCTGAGCTCAGAGCCCTGAGCACCACCAGGTGTGGGCGCCTTTGCAAACAAACCCCAACCCACCACCACCACCACCAGCACCAGGTGTGCGCCCCGGTCCCATCCCCCACCAAACGCCAACCCAACCCTGATTCTAATCCTGATCCATTCAGGGGCGCATTTTGCCATATTGCTGCTCATGTTCTGCCCCCCACCCCCACTCTCCACCCCGAACCCCGAATCTCCCTGAAAGGCCTTTCCACGCAGGACGGGCTCCACGGAGCGCTAGAGCGATGCCCACCGGGCATCCCACCGCAGCGAGCAGCCTGGCAGGGCTTGGGTGCCCTCTTCCATCCCGAGTGGACCGCGCGTGGTTGCCGCGGAGACACTCGACTGTTTTGCTCCCACGAGCGCGCGAGCTTGCGGGGACCCCAGAGACTGTCGGCGGGGGGTGGGGTGGGGGGCTTGTCGCGATCTTCCTAGTGCCCCAGCGGCTGTCGGGGGTCAGGGTGCACGTCGCGAGCTTGCGGGGGGCCCAGTGGCTCTCCGGGGGGCACATGTCGCGAGCTTGCGGGGGGCCCAGTGGCTCTCCGGGGGGCACACGTCGCGAGCTTGCGGGGGGGCCCAGTGGCTCTCCGGGGGGCACACGTCGCGAGCTTGCGGGGGGCCCAGGGGCTCTCCGGGGGGCGCGCGTCGCGAGCTTACGGGGGGCCCCAGCGGCTGTCGGGGGGCGGGGTGCACGTCGCTAGCTTGCTGGGGGCCCCGTGGCTCTCCGGGGGGCGCACGTCGCGAGCTTGCAGGGGGCCCCAGCGGCTGTCGGGGGGCGGGGTACACGTCGCGAGATTGCGGGGGGCCCAGGGGCTCTCCGGGGGGCGCACGTCGCGAGCTTGCAGGGGCCCCAACGGCTGTCGGGGGGGGGCGCACGTCGTTAGAGTCCCCGGGCCCCAGCGGCTGTCGGGGAGGGGCGCACGGGTGTCCTCTGGGTTTTTCTGCAGCCCGGCGGGGCCGGGAGAGCGCAAGTCAGCGGCCTCGGCCGCTTGGGGCGGCCCCACCCCCTCCCACGAGCTTCCCCGGGCGCCGGGCCCCGCCCCCCGTTTTTTTATTCCGCGGCCGCGGCCCGAGCTGAAACTTTGTAACCCGAGCGCGCGCCTCCTCCCAGCCCCCGGGGCGGCGCGGGCGGCGAGGTGGGAGCCGCGGGCGGGAAGGTGGGGGCGCCGGCCGAGCGGGGGACCCCCGGGGAAGGAGGAGCCGGGCGGGGACAGCGGCGGGGGTGGGGGTCCCGCGTCCCCGCGTCCCCGCGTCCCCGCGCCGGAGGAGGAGCCGCTGGAGGCCGAGCGGGCCCGGGGAGGCTGAGCGTGGCCATGCAGCGGTGACCCGGCCGCGGGGCGCCGGCCAGCGACCACCACCTCCCGCCGACGCCAGACGCGTCCCGAGCGACGCCGGCCACCATGGACCCCGTGACCAAGTGGAGCCCCAAGCAAGTGGTGGACTGGACCCGAGGTAAGAGGCGGGGGGTGGGGGCCTGGGCAGCGGGGATCGGGGTGCCCTGACGTCTCCGGGGTGCACGCACCCCCCCTCCTTGCCTTGCAACACCGCGCGGTGACCGTGCACGCATCCTCGTCGAGTGGCCGGGGCGCCCCTCGCCCCTGTCCCTTCTCGCTCTCGGGGTGCGCGCGGTGACAAGCCGAAGGGACGCGAGTCTCTGCTTTCCAGCCCTCGGTGCGGCCGGCGGGCGCGGGCCGGGCAGGCCCATCTCGGAACCCCGGGAGGCCCCTGCGTGGCGGGACCACCCCCCTCCACTAGCCCCCCAATCCCCAGCTCTGCCTGCGCGTCCCGGGGTGCAGAGGCACAAGCTGCCTTTGTGTGGGTCACCGCGCTTGGACCTCCCAAGTGCCGCGGGCCGGGAACAGCGCGCAGGGGAGTCCCGGGGAGCCACCCAACCTTTCTTATTTGGGGGTGGGTGAGAAGGCGAGACGGCACCCCCAGAACCAATCCGGAGGCCTGGGCCGCCTGGAGATACAAGCCCCGGGCGCAGGAAGCACGGGGACCCCCGTTGACGCCACAGATAATAGGCCACGATTAAGCCCGGGGAAAGAGAGCGAAGTGTTCTGAGCCACTGTCATGCCCTTCAGTTGTGTTTGGGACGCTGGAAAGCTCTGGGCGTGGGGAATGGGGGTGTCTTAGGGGTGTCTGAGCTGCTTCTCCAGCTGACTCACCGGCCTGTGAGTGCGCCCGGCTTCCTGCGGATGGACTGACGGAGGGCAGGGACCGTTCCCCCAGGCACCCCGCAGCACAGGCCCGTTGGCCCCGCGGTCCTCACCCCCTCCCAGCTAGCGCAGTGTCTGTCAAGTTACTGTTGTTTTCTCTTCTATCTGCTCTTCCAGGTGAGGAATGGTGGCCTTTCCCAATATTAATAAGTAGCATTGTGTAGCGCTTTACAGTTTGCTAAGAACTCGCTCTCTGTTATGGCCCTTGGTCATCAACAGTAGACCTGCGAGGTAGGTAACGCGGGTAAGACCAGGCCATCTTCAAACCTGTCACCCATGGCTGGCCAGCATGTCTCCATCTCATCTCTCATGTTGGGGGCAGGACCCATGGACCATGTGGGAGGGGGGTCCTGGAATATGGGGTGAGGGGGCGAAAGCGTTAGGGGCATGTCCCCTGATGCCCTCACCTCTGGGAGGAGGGCAGGAGAGGACAGGGAGAGATGCCCACTAACCTGGGAGTGGAATTTGCCAGGCTCTCCTGACGACGAAGACCCAAACAGTGCTCCGTGAGGCACTCCTCTGGACTTGAGGGGTGCCTGGCTAAATTGCATTGTCAGTGCTTGGCACAAAACACACGCTTTAGAAACTCTTTGCCCAGACCCTATTTTGAAACGGGCTTGCCTTGCCTGTCTGGACCCTTGCCCAGATCTGGGGTGTTGATCTGTTCGGCTGGTATGTCCAACCCAGAGCAACGTCAACGGATGATTTCAGCAGCTTTGGATGTGGAGAGCCGCTCTGGCCACCCCGAGGGCCTGCAGCTCTAGAAATGGGGCTGGTTGTTAGTGGGCTGTGAGAGAAAAATAGACACCGTGGGAATGAAGAATGCACTTTACATGTATGAAAGCATCGGGATCAATTGGGCTGACTCCATTTTCTTACCGAAATCCACTTGACCCGTGTTCTCTCCTCTTTTCCTTCTCAAATGCGGCTCCTTCCCTTCCAAACTTCCACACCTGGCCCCCATCTGGGCCTGGCATTGTGTTTCTGTTGGCCCTGGCAGCTGCCAACAAGGGGTTACAAGTTTATCATGCTGACTTTCCTGAGTCTCAGCCAGCACACTTGATAGTGCACAAGCAGAAAACTGGTAACAGGCACACAGGAAGATTATGGGGTGTGATCTTCACACCCTCCTGGTTTGTGTCTTTAAAAAATTTCTGTTGTTGTTGTTTCAGGTCCCTTTTGGGATGGGGAGAAGGGGAAGTGTAAATTTACATCCTGTTCGGTTTGTTTAGCATGTCAAAGGAAGAACAGTCTAAAATGTGGTCGGTGTCCAGTGGCTGTGACGTTATGACTCCACAGAGATCGCCTTTCATCTGGGGAAAATTTCCTACTGACCCGAGAGAGCAATTAATGGGTGGCTCCGAGTCTTGGTGCCAAGGAGCACTGGAGACCGATTCGATTACATACCTGTGGCTAGCACTTGGCAACTTTATACGGAACGCGTGTGCCTCTGGGGGGGACCCTAAGTACAGCCTCATAGAATGACCTGGATATTTTCTCTGTTGTAAAAATTTACAAAAGATTGAGAAGAGCAAGTGTGTGGCTAACTGGTGGATGACCCTCTTCCAAAATTGTGTGGCAAGATTTCTCCTGCTAATGAAGTGAAAGTATCGCTTTTTGAATGAACTATTGATGCAAACTTATTTGCTTAGAAGAAAGACTGTTTTTGGCTGTCTTTGCGAAGCTCTTCTCCACTTTATAGATATATCCTACTCATAATAAGCTCTTCATGCAGACTCTGCCAGTCTTGACAAGTGCCTGAGTTTGTAGTTTTGTGCGCTATAGGAAGTCTTAGGTTTAAAACCTGAATTTGTACTCCTGTTGGCGTATTAAGGCAGACATGCATGCGTTAGGGCAAAGGTGGATGGGAACTGGGAACAGAATGAATGACTTGCATTATTTATTTGTAAAATCCTTTTTTTTTTTCTTTTTGCTTTTTCGGGTCACACCCTGTGATGTTCAGTAATTATCCCTAGCAGTACATGGGTGGGCATGTGGAATGCCAGGGATCAAACCTGGATTGGCCACATGCAAGAAAATGCCCTACCTGCTGTACTATTGCTCTGGTCCCTAAAATCTACTTATTTTACCTAGCTTTCATTCCAATTTTTTTTTTTATTTTGTATTAATGACTGGGGGCTGGAGCGATAGCACAGAGGTAGGGCGTTCGCCTTACAAGCGGCCGACATGGCCAACCCGAGTTCGATTCCTCCGCCCCTCTCGGAGAGCCCAGCAAGCTACCGAGAGTATCTTGCCCGCTCGGCAGAGCCTGGCAAGCTCCCCGTGTCATATTCGATATGCCAGACACAGTAACAACAAAATCTCCAATGGAGACGTTACTGGGCCTGCTCGAGTAAATCGAAGATCAACGGGAGGGCCTTTACCTTTTATTAATGGCTGGAGCGATAGCACAGCAGGTAGCGTGTTTGCCTTGCACCCAGCCAACATTGCCGACCCGGGTTTGATTCCTCTGCCCCTCTCGGAGAGCCTGGCAAGCTACTGAGACTATCTTCGCCCGCATGGCAAAACCTGGCAAGCTCCCTGTGATGTATTCGATAATGCCAAACACAGTAACAAGTCTCACAATGTTACTGGGTCCGCTCGAGCAAATCGATGGACAACAGGAGGACAGTGACAGTGAACCTAGGTTTGCGTGGTGACCAATGTTCTCATCACCTTAGTGGCTTAGCAGTGGGGCATCCACAAGGCTGAGCTTCGGGCAAGGATGAATCATTTAATAGGCACGACTGCCTTTTGCAGTACGAACTGTTCTTTCTGTTCTGTGTTTGAAGAAACTGAGGCACAGAAGAACTAAGCCTGGCCTTAGTGCTTAGTACCACAGAGCTGGGAGGTGGCAGCCTGGTGGTCAGCGTTCTGCTCCACTCCTCCTCCTTCCTGGAGTGGGGCCCAGAAGGTCTTTTCCCTGTTGGTAGAGTAGATCTTGCGGTTTCTCCTGAAGCAAGTTCCTCGGCCTAGGCAGTGCCTTATTTTGCATATTCTGTCTCTATCAGGCAAGTTATTTGTAAATCAAATGAAGTCCTAGGTTTTGGCACCTTGCCTTTCAGTACCACTTTTTGCAAAGCAAAGGATGTCTTCCAAAGTTAAGAATGGGGAGAGATAACTCAATTTACAGTGGAGTAAACATATAGGAATTTTGGTCTTTTGGGGGGAGGGGAGGGAAGTTTGGCTTGGAGAACAGGGCAGGCCCCTCCATCATCAGACCCACTTAGCCTTATCCTGTGCCGTGGCTTGGAACTTCATATGTGTCCTTCTCCCCTGAATGCAAGGTGGTTGCTTCATGGCAGGATCTCTGCGGACAAATCCTAGGGGATTCCCTAGTCCCTCCTATGGAGGAGCACCCCTGGAATATCTATCAGCTGATCCCTTGTCTCCTGGCTTGTCAGAAACGTGATCTGGTGCCCTCAGGCCGCAAGGGCGGCTGGGTAGTAGGGTCTTCTTGTTTTAAGATTAGGTGCTTTCCTCAGCTTAACAAGGGCTGGAGCAATAGCACAGCGGGTAGGGAGTTTGCCTTCCTTGTAGCCAGTCGGCTGACCCGAGTTCGATTCCTCTGCCCCTCTCGGAGAGCCTGGCAAGCTTCTGAGAGTATCTCGCATTCATGGCGAAGCTTGGCAAGCTACCTGTGACGTATTCACCCGTGACATGGCAAGCTACCTGTGACATATTCGATATGCCAAACACAGTAACAACAAGTCTCACGATGGAGCAAATCGATGAACAACAGGAGGACAGTGCAGTGCCACAGGTGCTTTCTCAGCCCCTGAACAAGTTAGACTTTGATTTTGGTCAGCCAGGAGGAAGAAATTAGGAGCTGGTTAGTGACCACTAGTATCTGACACAGTTGTTGATTTTCAGGTGCTAATTTTCTGTGTGTGTGTGTGTGTGTGTGTGGTGTATTGGGGGAACACATGCCCTGCAGGGCCCAGAACCGAGCCCTGGAGGTGCTTGAGGGGTCAGAGGTGGTGCTGGGAAGAGCTTTAACCCCCTGTACCATCTCTCCAGCCCAGGTATTGCTTTTCCTTCGAAGCGTTTTTCCGTAAGATGCTCCAAGGTCTGCCACTTCTGTGCCATCTGCGGCCCCCCTCCCCCCCATGTAGAAAGTGCTGCTTTTCGTTCCTGCGACCGTTCCCCCAGGCACAGCCTGGACAGATGGGAGATCCAGGCTTCAGCTCGAGCTGAGGGCTGCTCGCTGTGTTGCCAGATACCCCTGGGCAGGTGGGGGCCCCTCCTGGAGGCCTCGGGGGTGTCTTGAAGCAGGATGAAGTAGACTGCCGTGTTCTGCTTTGCTGTTAACCCAGCGCGTCCAGAAAGCCACTGAACGAGCATCAGATCAGTTGTGGGCCCTGCACGGTCACTCTGGGCAGCTTTGTGTCGTGCATTTTGTCTCCCCTCCCACCGACTCCCCCCCTCCTCCCCAGTCAAGGGGGCTTTCCTGTCTGAGGTCTGAGTCTGTGGGGTTTACGGGTGCCTTGCCCTGGCTCCACAGTGATTAGCTATGGGCGCCTCTTCGCCCCGGGGTGGCTCCGTGGATTCAGCCTGGCGAGTCTTAGGGGACCTCCCATTTGGGGCCTTTTTCTGTTAGTGTTGGAGCCCCGTGTGCTGTGGGCCGCTGGCCACGTGCCCCGCACTTCCGTCCTGCCCTGCCAGTTCCATCTGGAACGCTGCCCCCCAGGCCTGCTTGGCTTTCGCCTGCAGCCTCTCACTCGAGGCAGAGGGCCAGCTTTTCCTTGGGGCAGTGAGGAGAGTTAGAAAACGCTTCCCTTTGTTTAAGGCTTTCCCATCTCCCAGGGGTTCCCTCCAGAGTCTCCCTGCAGGCAGGGCTGGGGATTGAACCTGAGCCCCTTGAGCAAAACAGTGCACAGAGCTGCTCACCCTCGTTCTCTGGCCCCCAACTTTTCTTCCTCATCCTTCCAAGTGTTTCTTATGTGGCAGACACTGCCAGTTGCTTCCCACATTCATTTCTCAGAGAAACCTCAGGAGTTGTCAGCACCGTCCTTCTAGAAATGAAGATATGGAGGCAGAGACTATCAGGGGGTCAGAATTCAGGAGTCACTGTGTGCTTTGCATGGTGGCCAGCCTTGCCCAGGCCAGATGTGGCAGGGCTCAGGGGAGAGGGTCTGCCCATCCCTGGGTTTCAGGGTTTATTTATGTATTTTTTGCTTTTTCGTCACACCCAGCAATGCTCGGGGGTTCCTCCTGGCTCTGTACTCAGG